TCGGCGAACAGTTATAAGCGGCTACCAGAGGCTCAGAGCATCCGCGGGCTTTGGCGAGGGAAAGCAAATCCCCTCTGTACCCTTTTAAGGTACCGGGATTTTCAGGATTACCGCAACCCCTGTAGTCGCATCCTTCCCCCTCCCCCGCCACGGCTTCCCGTGGGGGCACGGAGCCCGCCGTCCGACTTGCCAGCCCCTGCCCGGGCTCGCAGGGCCGCGGGACCTGGCAGGAGCGGCGGCCGTGGGAGCCGGCAGCAGTTCGGAGGTGTGCGGCTGCTGGAGGGGCGGCTGAGCATCCTTTCGTAGAGTGAACCCTCTGTGGTCTCTGCAGGGCTGCGGTGCAGCGAGGTTGTCCCGCGTCGGGGATGGCATCCCGCTCCTCCCCACAACCGAGGCTGTGCTGGTGGGGAGCAAAATCAACTGCCGAGGTGTCTGACCCCTCCCGTCCCGCTCCTCCTCCTCCGCCCCTCACCCCAGCGCCTCCCCCGTGAAAACTGCTCGGGAATTTCCTGAGGAAACGTGGTTTTTTTTCTCATTGGAAAATTCAGGCTGTTTCACTGAGCCCGACCTGTTTGGGCAAGGCGCTGGAGCGGAGGATGCTCGGAGGGTGGCCAGCTCATGCCGCGGTGCCTGTGCCAGGTGCTGTGTCCCTGCGTGGCACGGAGCATCCCCTGTCCCCAGGGCGGGAGGCTCCAGGAGTGCGGAGCCCCAGCGCTGCCGAGCCGGTGGCAGAAGCACGGGAAGAGGCAGCGCCTCCGCTGTGCCCCTTCCTAATCCCTGGCGCTGCCAAACCCTGGGCTGCGGAGGAGTTAATCCTCCATGGCATGCCCAGCTCCACACAGAGTATCCCTCCCTCCTCTCACCAGCCACCGCAAGACAGAGCCGGGCCTGACCCGTGCCTCAGTTTCCCCTCACAGCACCTGGCATGGAAAGCTAGTGCTCCAGCAGCCCCTGGAAAGGGGGTGCAGGGGGGCCCGGAGCGGGGCCGGCAGCACCCGACGCAGGCGTGCTCCTGCCTGGGTTGCAGGGCTTTACAAGCCTGGGTTGGATGAGGCCCAAGCGCAGGCTCTGCTGCCAGATTCCCATCCGGAAATGCCCCGGGAGCAGCCTCGTCTGGGGTATTGCAGCACGTCTCTGCTTCCCAGCCCCGCAAAGGAAAAACAGCAGGAGAAACAATTAACCAGTCCTTTGCCGGCACTCGGGCTGCTGGATAAGGGGAACCCGGTGGGAATCTGGGCCCGGGACGGACAGACAGACGGTGCATCCCTGCCTTTGCCTTCCCAAGCGGATCCGGTGTGAAGCCGGCTGGTGCCAGCCGGGATGATGTGCCCGGCCGAGGGGCTCATAGGCTCCACGGTTGGGGACGGTCCCCGCGTCCTTTAGCGTGTCCCCTCAGCCCCCAACAGCAGCCGCTCCCATGTGCTTGTCCTGCTGCCCCCCAGCCGCCCTCGCCTGCCCTGCTAAAGCGGCTTAACCGCGGCATCGCGGCGCGGGTTAAGCCGGGCGGGAGGGAAAGTTGGCCGGGGGCTCATTGGCTTTGGGTGCAGCTCCCGGCCCGCCGTAATCCCGGGGAAGTGTGGGGGGGGCTGCGATGGCTTCGGGGACACCGAGGGCCGCAGGGGCTTCTGCACGCAGCGGGTTTTTGGAGAGTCTCAGTTGTGGGTCCAAGTGAGAACTGCAAATTCTCGGCACCGTGGTGGGGCAGGGCACAGAAACTGGGGTTCGCTGCTGCCGTGCCGAGGCAGAGCACCGAGCACCCCCTGACCCCACAGTGAGCACAAGCAGCATCCAAGGGTGCTGCCTCACCCAACCCGGATAACCTGGTTCCTGCCACGCTTCCCTGCAGTGGTGCCTGGGGTGGCACTTCCCAAGCGGGAGAGCAGGGATAGGGACAATGGTGTCCCCCCGGCCCTGCGGCCAGCCCTGCCGCCGGCAGCCTGGGGAGGGTGGCGGGGCCAGGGGATGGCAGCAATTTGTCGGGCTCGTCTGAATAACCGGCCACCAAGGAAGATCAGCCGCCCACCGCCCTGGCCAAGTATTGTTTTTGGAACTCACTGCTGCTTTTTTCGGCTCCTGTCTTACTTTTCTTTGACCTTCTTCTCTGATTTAAGACACATGCCCAGCCCTTGCCCAGCTGCACTGAATTAGCGGCTGCTGCTGGGGAGGGAAGCGGGAACCAGACCCTGTGGCCGCCCCGGGAGCAGCCGGCAGGGCCAGGCTCCCCAGGCAGAGACGGCCCCTCCAGGCAAGGAGGGGTTCCTCTGGCAGGATGAATCCCCTGGCCAGGGACGGGGCCCCAAGGTTACGATGGGTTTGCCTGCCAGATTTGGGTCGCTATGGGTACAATGGGCTACCCAATAAGGGGGCAGTCCCCTGTCCCTTGTTGGGCACGGGAGGGACACCTGCGGGGCCACAGCTCTGGGTCCAGAGAGGGGCTGGTGGCCCCCAAAGACGGCAGGGTCTGTCCCATGAGGAAGGATCTGTGCTTGCAGTGACTTTTGTGGGGTTAGTGGGGCTGTTCCAGGGGCTGGGGCTGGCAGTTGCTGGTGCTGGGTTCAGAGACAATGAGGTCTGTACTGAGACATCTGTGCCAGGTCACAGCAGTCTGTGTAGGGGTCACTGGTTCAGGGGACACCCATGGCTGTGCCATGGGACCCATGCTGGCTGTTGTCAGGTTTTGTGCTGGGGGAGCAGATTTAGGGTTAATGGGACATGTCCTGGACTTGGGAACAAGTGGGAGTTAGCAGGGTCTGTATGGGGCTGGTCCTTGCTGGGAGCCTGTTTCAGGGGACATTGTTCCCTCCAGGCAGGGTCACTCTGGGACACAGCTGCTTCAGCCAGGGAATGGCATCACTGCTCTGGGATGAGTGGGGCCAGATCTGAGCACTCACCCCATCCCACAGCCACAGCTCTGTCCTTTCCCAGCTCCTGCCCATGGCCACCTCCTCACCTCAGAGCAGCACTTGCCCTTGGCACCCTCCGCAGGCTTGACTCTGTGGCATGGCAGTGACAGTTGTCACCAGCCACCCCCTTCTCAGCCCTGACACCCTGTAGCAGGAACCCAACTGAGCTCCTTCCTCCTTCTCTTCCTCCTCTTTGTCCTCCCCACAGACATGAGGGACCCCAAGGGCCAAATCCTGCCCTTGAGGACCAATTTGGTGCTGCCCTGGCTACACACGGGGATGCTCAACCCTCTGCCTGCTGCTTTCCAAGCTGTGCTGCTCCTCACCAGGAAGGCTCCCAACACTTTTCCATCCCATGGTGGGGTTGTGGGCCCCCCAGCCAGGAAGCACTGATTTTCCAAATTGGAAAAAAAAATGGGATGCGAGAAGGAGGGGCCAGGGAGGGGGATGCATTTTCCTTGTTTTCTTTTTGGGGCCGGACTCATCCAGCAGCTCTCACCAAATGGAAAAAGGCAGTCAGAGCACGCCTTGTGTGCCGGGCCAGGCGCCAGCCGCCGGGCTGGCTGCAACTGGGGCAAACTGGGGGAGTTTCCCGCTGGTCCAGAGGGAGTGGAGAGATCCAAGGCACCTACAGCTCGAGCAGCAGCACCCAGCATGCTGCAGGCATGGGGGACCCGACACTGGGGCGTTGTGGCCTGGCAGCGCCTGACGCCGGCACAGCGGCTCTGGTGGGCACAGTGTCAGCTGGGATTTCAGGTGGGATTTCTGCACCTGGTGGGACAGATCCTGGCATGCAGATCCTGCAAAGGGGAGAGGGTCCAGGTGCTGCTGAGGTGGCCAACCTTGTGCAGGTGCCTGTCCCCCTGCAGCACTGGCTCCAATATTGCCCAGCCACTTCCCGCAGGTTGTTGGCCCGGTAAAATGGCAGGCAGTGGGATTTATGGAGGTCTGCTCGATTGGGATAACCTCTCTGTGTGGTGAGAGGATCCACATCCCTGGTGGGTATGTGCCTCTGCCAGTTTTTTCTTCTGGTTACACTGGGACACAGCCCAGTGAGAATGAGCCTGGCAGCCCCCCAAGCCTCCGCTTGGAGGGACTCGGCCAGGAGTGACCCCCTGTCCCTCTGCTCCACAGGATGAGTTCCACCCCTTCATCGAGGCGCTGCTCCCCCACGTCAGGGCCTTTGCCTACACCTGGTTCAACCTGCAGGCCCGCAAGCGCAAGTACTTCAAAAAGCACGAGAAGAGGATGACGAAGGATGAGGAGAGGGCGGTGAAGGATGAGCTGCTGAGTGAGAAGCCGGAGGTGAAGCAGAAATGGGCCTCGCGCCTCCTGGCCAAGCTGCGCAAGGACATCCGGCCCGAGTGCCGCGAGGACTTCGTGCTCTCCATCACGGGCAAGAAGCCCTCGTGCTGCGTCCTCTCCAACCCCGACCAGAAAGGCAAGATGCGCCGCATTGACTGCCTGCGGCAGGCGGACAAGGTGTGGCGGCTGGACCTGGTCATGGTCATCCTCTTCAAAGGGATCCCGCTGGAGAGCACCGACGGCGAGCGCCTGGTCAAGTCAGGCCAGTGCACCAACCCCATCCTCTGCGTCCAGCCCCACCACATCAGCGTCTCTGTCAAGGAGCTCGACCTGTACCTGGCGTATTTCGTCCGTGAGAGAGGTGGGTGCTTGTCTGCATGCAGGGCAGAGCCTGGCTGTGCCCTGCCACAGCCAGCTCCGGGGGGATTTGTTTTAGTTTTCCCATCCCCATCTCTAGCTGGGGACACTGCTCCTGAACACCTTTCCCATTACAGACCTTGCAGTGCTTTCCTCTCTCCAAACTGCTTCTCGGGTGGGTGCCCCCAACCCTGGCCCCTGTTGCCCAGCCATGACAGATCCCAGGTGCCCAAGAGCAGGAGGATGCAGAGGTCCCTGAGCATGCTCCTGTCTCTGGGCATTCCCAGCATGGAGTTTTGGGGTTAAACCCAGAGCTAACCCCACATCCTGCATCTAGCTGAGAGGAGTGGGTAGGCAGCCTGGGCAAGGAAGGGGCAATCTGTTCCTAATGCATCCCCAAGGGCTGGAGCTGGGAGAGGTCCAGCAGTGCCCATTTGCCATGGACTACGGTGCCAACCCCTCAATGGCAGAGCAGGGACAGGGGCAGTGAAGTCAGGGCACAGCAGTAACATGGGTCGGGGCAGCTCCCACCCATGCTGGTTCCAGCCCTTCACCTGCCTGGGGGTCCCATGAACTTGCTGGGAGAACTGGCTGCTTTCATTGCAGCAGGGAAGGTCAAACCTGCTCTCAAAGATGTCAGTCAAAAGGGGGAAACTGAGTCATGATGTGCAGTGCAGGCAGCAGGTCTCAGTTTGGGTCCCTGAGCCTTTGTCCTCACCACCGGCTCATGTCATCTCCTCGCATGTTGGGAAGGGGAAGCTCCTAAGTAGGTATTTTACCTGGGCAGGTTTGTTGTCCCTGGCTGGTGACATGCTGGCACAGACACCCTGCCAGCAGCTGGGGTCCCCCACAGACCCTGCCAGCACCCCCAGGTGTGTGAGGAGCCAGGGGAGATGCTGTGTGATCCTGGGTGACGGCTGGGTTGTTGCACAGGGCTCAGACAGGAGGGTCTGTGACATGCAGCCCATGGTGTGATCAAGGGGTTCATGGCCACCTCTGGCCAGGCCAGGCTACCCAGGTGTGCGGGGGTAGCAGCATATTGGTCCCCTACTGGCAGCACCTCCTGCCCATGCCACACATGTGGGTGATGTTCCCTGGCCCCATGAGCCCACCCTTATCAACACCACAGCAGAGGGAACATGGGACTGGTGGCTCTTTTCCTGGTACTGGCCAGAGCCCAGAGACAGACAGTGACACCACAGAGGCCACCATGGTGCTGGCATTGCCAGCAAATCAGGTGCCAGTGTTGTGAATCAGTGTGGGCACACGCTCTGCCCAGCCATCCGTGGGATATGCTGGGTGTCACTGGGGAAACTGAGGCAGGGCAGGCATGTGACCTCCCCCACTACTCAGGGGAGGGGTTTGGCAGGATTACCAGGCTCTTGTGGCTTTGGGGAAAAGCAGGGCACTGCCTCCAGCAGGGAATAGCCAGGGCCAGACCCTGCCCCAGGGCCCATGTGGGACCCTGGGCTGGTGTGGGGCACGTTTGTGGTTGAGCGTGCAGCAGGAGCTGCCTGCCCAGCCGTGTCTCGTGGGGTGTGAGCACACGTGCTGCCAGCACCACACACCCGTGCCCCTGCACGTGACTCCAGGGCAGCAGGGACCCAACGGGGCCTGGCACCACCGATTCCCAGCAGGGCACGGGGAAGGGTGGGTGCTCTGCTGGGAATGGGGGGCCCAGGGTGCAGGCTGGGGGCTGTGGGTGCCCTGTGCACCTGGGCAGGGAATGGGGTGTCATGTACTGGGCTGAGATATGGCTGTGCTGAACTGGGGTGCTGCATGCTGTGCTGGGGCACCCTGTACTAAGATGAAGTTGCTGCATGCTGGGCTGGACTGGGAGCGCCCTGTGCTGGCTCAGCTGGAGGTGCAGTGTTATTCTGGGCTGGAGTACCCTGGACTGGGCTGAACTGGGAGCCCCCGGATGCTGGACTGGGAGTCTTGCAGTGGCCAAGCTGAAGGCAGGGACCAGGACCCCAAGGGATGGGGTCCTCATGTGCAACCTGGTGTGCCTCACTGAGGTGCTGTGCTGGCAGGTTCCCTGGCCATGCTGTGTCCAGCTGCTGTCCCTGGGAGGTGCCAGCTGCCCCCCTACCACCCCCCGCCCCTCCACCGGCGACCTTGACCCCAGTGTCTGGGTCCCCAGCAGTCGCAGTCACCTGACTGTCTAATTGGGAACACAGAGGCTGTAAATACTCTCTGATAAGGCCTGGCAGCCTCTCACTTTCACTGTTAAGGTCGCTCTGGCCCTGGTTAAGGGGGACCAGGATGGGCCAGGAGCAATAGTGTGGGACCCCTGGGGTGCTGCAGGCTGGTGGGTGCTTGGCATGGCCCAGTCCCAGCCCACAGTGGGCACATTCCGTCAGGCTGTAGCTGATGGGGGGTGGCCTCCAGCCTCCCATCTTGGTGGGGAAACTAAGGCAGGAAAGAAGCCACCACATCGATGGGACCCTGCACGGCATGGCCAGGCTGGTGATAGCACTCGAGGGGTGCTGGGGATCACTGTACCACAGTGGGTTCAGTGAGCTTCTCCCTGCCCGACATGCTGCCCTCCTGCTCCCTCCTAGCTGCTCCTGCCCGGCACACTGCCCCTTCTTACCTGCCTCCTCCTGCCTGATTCTGCCTCCTCCCTCCTGCCTGCCCGCTCCTGCCCTCTCCTGCCTCCTCTCACCTGCCTGCCCGCTCGCTCGAGCCTCCCGCAGCATCCCCAACCTCAAAGACAGGGGGCTGGGAGGGTCTCTCCCACGCAGGGCCCCCCGGCCGGGCAGTCCGGGCTCCCCGCAGCCCCCGCAGCCCCCCGTTATCAGCCCGAGCACGTGCGCCCGCGCTCCCCCGCCCCCGCCGCCCGCTTTTGCCGGTGTCAGCACAATTTCGCAGCCGCTGCTCTGGCAACGCCGGGGAGGCGGGGGATGGAGGAGCCCCCGGCCCTGCGCTCCCCAGCCGCGGTCTGGGGCAGCCTCGGCAGGGGCTGAGCGCCCTGACGGCCCCCCAGGCCCACGCCAAAGGCGAGCTCTGACTCTCGGCTCTTCCCCCATCGTCGGCTTTCCGTGCCCCCGGGTGGGCGAACTGACGCCGGGCTGGGGGGAGGTCCCGTCCCAGCCCTGCTAGCCCCGGGGGTGGCCCTGGGGTTCAGGGAGTGCCGGGCGCCTGAGTCCTCCCCAGGCCTGCACCAGCCCTGCTCTCATCCTGCACCCAGCCCTGTGACCGCCACCCCCGGCACCTTTGGGGCAGGATGGGATTGGGATGGGTGCGGGAAGGGCACCCGTGATGTGAGCAGGGTTTGATGCAGGAAGCAGGGCTGGATGCAGGGTGGGAGCGGGGCTGGATGCAGGGTGGGAGCGGGGCTGGATGCAGGGTGGGAGCGGGGCTGGATGCAGGATGGGAGCAGGGCTGGATGCAGGGTGGGAGCGGGGCTGGATGCAGGATGGGTGCGGGATGGGTGCGGGGCTGGGTAAGGGCTGGGCTGTGCACACCGCAGTGGGGGAGGGGACGGCGCTGCAGCCCAGAGCTGGGTGTGCGGCGGGGGGGGCGGGGGGGCTGGGGGGAGCTCGGAGGTCGCTGGTGAAAGTCAAAAGCATTGCAGTAAAATGGTAATCAATCTCCCCAGCCGATGGTGCCAGGACCTTCGGAGCATTACGGAGAGATTCCTCCCAGCAGCTCCCGTCGGCAGCAGCCAGTCTGGGGTGGGGAGGGACAGTGCCCCCCTCCCTGCACCCTCCCGCTAGTGCTCGCTACCTCCATGGGCTCCCTTCCTGCGCCCTCACCTATGCCTCAGTCCCTGCATCCCCATCTATGCATTCAACCGTCCTTGTATCCCCATGCTAGTAGCTCCCGTCCTTGGACCCCCCCAGCCCACCCAGGCTCCCAGAGCCGGGGAGAGGCACAACAGGGGCAGTGCTGGCCCCTCACACCCTCTAAGGTTCTCTGCTCAGCGGGGCAGGGGGTCGAGGCTCTGCCCTGCAGTGAGCTTTTCCCAGCACTGCCCCTTGGCTGAGGCCCCAGACCGAGTGGGGTGGGAGCAGATGGGTGCCCAGGGCAAGCAGGCAATGGGCCCCAGGGTGGCATCGAGCCGTGTCGTGCCGCCGCCAGCGGACAGCACCTGGGGGGAGGCAGGGACCCCCGTGCTGTGGCAGCATCTGCGTCTCCCACCGCCTGGCAGCCCTTTATCTCCCCCCACCAGCCTCGCCGCTGGGTGCGGCGTGAGGCAGATGGCACCAATCTGCCGGGGAGCCCGTGCCAGGGCTCTCGTCCCAGGCGCGCTGCGGCCGTGCCAGGCCGGCCGTGCCAAGCGTCTGCTCAGCCCCTCCAGATGGAGGGGCAGGCGTTTCCCCGGGCACCGCCGCTCCGCCAGCCCCCGCGCAAATATTTATCGCCAGGGTCGTGAGAAGATTGATGGCGTTAACAATATTTGGGATCTGTCATTCGCAGAGCTGGGCACCGGCGGGCAGGCAGGCTGGAGAGCCCCCCCAGCACACAGATGAACACGGGCAAACCTTCCCCCAGTTTCTGGTATCTCTACTCCCAAGCAGCCAGAGAGGCCGGGCTTGAGGGGAACGAGGTAGGCAGAGCCCAGCAAGCCCAGGACGAGATGACCCCCCCACACCCCACCCCGGGAAACGGCACAAGGGTACGAGACAGCAGAGAATCCTCAAGGGCTGGGTTCCTGCCCTCAGGGCTGCGCGCTGCAGAAGCGGGATGGGAGGGGGCTCCCCAGGGTGCCACCCCCTCGCCACCCCTGTCTCCTGCAGCGTCACTGCCCGGGCTCCCGCCGTTCCTGAGCCCGGCCCCGCTGCGAGCCTGGCGCTGGCACGGCCGGGGCGGTTTCCATGCGCTCGAGTCTCCGGATCGATGTGCCGGCGACCTTGGGGAGGTCAGGGCTTCCCCGGCTCTCCCGCAGTGCGCCGAGCCGGCGGCGTGCTGGAGCCGGACGGCTTCCCTGCAGTGCCCGCTGCCAGCCCTGGCCTCGCGTCACCGCTGGAGCGACTTGAGCCGTGCTCAGCCCGGCGGCCCCGGCAGCGTGAGCGGTGCCTGCCGGGGACCTGGCACAGGCTCCTTTGCCGCCGGAGGGGACAAGGGGCCACAGCGGTTCCGCGCACCGTTAGGCA